AGACACACACACACGTGTATAAACACAGAAGAAGAGCATGACGCTACCTGTAGTTCTGGAAGGAACGGTGCAAGTGGAGAAGTCTTAACAAGTACCACAGAGTACCTGCCCAGTGGAGGTGGGTGCGGGCTTGGCAGGGAGTAGCCGTGTACGCAGTTTTAGCTTGTTCCTCCACGAGATCTGGCCTTGTGTGAAACAGGAACTCCATGGCTTGGGCGTCTGGCAGACTCGACCAGTGGGCAGTTGGAAAGGGCCTTGTAGCAATGGGATATGTGGGATGCTCTAGGGAGGACCCCAGTCTCCCTGGCTAACCCCGGGCCAGAACACATCGCCAGAGCCTGAGAAAGGTATGCTGGACACTCGACTTGTGTGCTAGATGGCCATCGGAACACACGCCAGTCGTCCCTGAAGGCAATATCACGAGGGGTGGAGACACAGCGGCCCTAGCCCTGCAATCAGCTGAGGAAGCCAATGGGAAGCCATCACAGCCCAGATGAGGGCCTGCACACACAGCCAGCAGGCCCTGCGAGGAGATGGGCAGGGATGGGAGGGATGCCACTGTAGCCAGGGGTGCCCAGAGCCGGCACCCCACCCTGTAAGAGCAGCCCGCAGCGGGAACTCAACCTGGATGTGGCTCTTGTGGCCTCCGGAACTCTGAGAGGACCCGAGTCTGCTACAAGTCTCCGGGTTTGTGAGCATCTGTTCCGCAGTCCTAAGAAGCATGCACAGGCTCATGGGTAGTTATGGAGAGAAAGAGAAGAGGGAAGTGCGGAAAGAGGGAGAAAGGGAGAGAGGGAGAGAGGGAGAGAGAGAGAACTGTCATCCACTGGTTCACTCCCCAAAGTTGAGCCAGGAGTCTGGAACACCATCAGGGTCTCCCATGGCGAGGCAAGGGTCCAACCACACACCTCCGGGCCCCTTGGAGGCTGCGGTGGCGGCAGAACCCAATCCTGACACAAACAGGAAGTGGAAACATTTCAGCTAGCACTGTCAGCAGTCACAGAGGGACCCTGACTCTGCATGAAACACGGATAAACCCCAGACCGCCACAGCTGTGAAGTGTACCTGAAGGGTTCAGACACCTGGGGATGCCTGCACCCCATTTGTAGTAACTTGGATGGGGGTACCTGGATTTGATTTCCAGCTCCACTTTCTGCCCACCTTGGGAAGCAGTGGGTGATGGCCCAAGTACTAGGGGTTCTGCCCTCCAGTGTGGGAGACCATATGGAGTTTTAGGCACCTGCTCCAGCCCTGGCTGTTACAGAAATTCAAGGAGCGAGCCAGCAGATGGAAGATCTTTCTCTCTTGCTCTGCTTTTCAAGTTGATGAGGATAATAAATCAGGAAAACCTTGAAGAAAAAAAAAGAGGCAGACGCCGTGCAGGTGATAGGAAGGTGTGGCCCAGGTAAGCCCTGTGAGCACCTTTGTGACACATGAGCCCCAGGCAGCGCCTTGCAGGGCCCGCTGAACATCCCTTAGACCCGCAGGCCCTTGGGAGTGGAGCACGCAGCGGCTCAGGCAGCACACTCAGCCCTATGTCAGCTCTGCCAGGTCACTGCCAGCGCCAAGCCTGCCAAGGGTGCTCCCCAAACAGCCACCAGAGCTCCCGGCCATGACAGACAGCCCCCCGCTGTGGCTGGACTGCGTCCTGCCTTGATCTGCTTACCGGCAGCCAGCCGCAGGTTTCATGAGCATGACCGAGGCAGACTCCAACTGACAGAGAAGGGGCTAGCTCAATCAAGCGGCATGCGCTCAGCGGCCAGCTGCTACCTGACACAGGTGGAGTCTTTCCTCTTCTGTGCCTTCAGGCAGGGGGTGACACTGGACGGACACCACACTCCGCCAGCCATGGCCACCACTGCAGTGGGGCGTGAGAGCAGGTCAGCTGGACACCTGGCTCTGTGCAGCCTGGTGGTCATTCTGAGCCAGGCCAGAGCTGGAAGGAGGACCTGGACTTGGGGCCTGTGTCTGGGCTCTTTGGCCAGAGGCCGGCGCCAGCTTGCTTGGCCAAGGTGACCAGGAAAAAGGAATCCGCAGGCTTGCAGAGCCGCACCGTCAGTGCCAGAGCTGCTCAGGGTCTGGAAGATTTCTCAAGGGCCTGTGGTCAGCGAGGACAGGTCTGGGATTGCAGGAGACTTCTGGAGGAAGGTGGATATGCCCAGCCAACAAACAAATCCAACCCAGCAAAACGCCCAGCCTTTGCCACCCGCTCAACTGCCAAGGCAGCCCTTGGGACTCTCAGTTGTCAAGGCTGAGCAGGCCTAGGACTCCATACTCCATGTTGCTGCTTTCCGGGGCCACCAGGGGCTGGAAGGGCTGTAGGAGAAGGAGGGTCCACGCAGAAGGGCCGTGTCCCTGTCCAGCCACAGGGAACTCACTCCTCCCCATTGGGCTGTTCATCTCTGGACGCGCGTGTCTGCTAGAACGTTCTTTGCCACATTTGTTAGAAATCTATCTCCTTCTAACGTGTAATCACTGGAATTCAGTTTTGTTGTTGTTGTTGTTGTTTTAAGATATGTTTATTCGAAAGGAAGAGTGAGTGAGAAAGAGAGAGAGAGATTCCATCTCTTGGTTCACTCCCCAGATGGCCACAACAGCCAGGTCTGGGTCAGCATGACGTCAAGAGCCAGGAACTCAACGTGGGTCTCCCATGTCAGTAACAGGAACCTAAGCTCTTGGCCATCGTCAGCTGCCTTCCCAGGTGCAGGATCAGAGTGGAGAAGCTGGGACTCAAACTGGCACTCTGAGATGTCAGCACAGCAGGCCACAACACTAGGCCGGAACCCTAGACCCGTGACAGTAACATGGCGGCCTCACTGACTCTGTGACCACCTCATGGCTCACACCCTGTACTCAGCACCTGCTTGCTAGAACAGGCGACAGGCTCAGAGTGAGGCAGCCACTTGTCCAGGGTCATGTGAGTCCCTGCTGTGAGCACCCTCAGGCCACAGGTGACGACCCTCACTGTACCGCCCCCTGCCTTTCTCCCTCGCACACACCCTGGTTCTCCCAGGCAGCGCTCGTGTGACAGCCAGGAGTGGGCGTGCAGCCCATTTCCAATGCAAGAGCCACACACTGGCAAAGCTTTTCTCACATGTGAGAGCAGGCGTTAAGGAGGAGGTCCCTGATGTTCCCACACGCAGCTGGGAACAGCAGGCAACACTTGTGGACCAGCCCTGTCCCGTTCTCAGCCACCACTGCCAGATGCCCACCCAACACAGCTGCGCCATCTGGGAACCGAGCCCGCAGAACTGCGAGCCAAACAGATCTTCCAGGTATTTCCCTATAGGAAAGCCGAGCCTCACTCTGGGCATGGTGCGCTGGGAGCGGAGCCTGTGCGACCTCAGTGGGAGGGTCAGGAGAGGGCTGATGCTGGGACAAGGGAGCCTGTCACCCCAACTCATGCCCCTGCCTGTTCTACACTGGGGGCCCTGGCACCCAATGACTGCATGCCCCCCAGGCCAGGGAGCAAGCCCTGTAAGGGACTTGGGAGGTTTTCCCAACCTCTCAGGTCACTGAGGCTGACCTGCCTGCCTGCTGGAGCAGGACCCCAAGTGGGCTGAACCAGCGACACGTGGACCTTGTGCCACCCACTCTGTGAGCTGGCAGGCAGTGGCACCCACAGCACTGGGAGCTCCCAAGAAATGCAGGCTCAGGCCCTTCCTGGCCCAGCCATGTTGGCCACCTGCCACCTACCCTGGAGTTGCACGGGCTGCTACTCAAGGGGACGCCTCTGCCTGGGCTCTGTGCCCAACGCAGGGGCTAGCCAGCACCCACCAGCGGACGCAGGACAGCAGGACAGCCCGGAGTCATTTCAGAGATTTTATTTCACAAACTGTTGGGACTTGTTCATACAAGATACGCTACAAACACACTGCAGAAATGTAACCGGCTTTATAGGAACGGGAGCGACGGTGGGCTGGGACAGGGCATGGTACTTTTGGAAATCGCACACACACATTTATATCCAGCTCTTGTACACAGGAAGTAGTAAAAACACATTGCTTTTCATAGAAAAAATAAAGGCACAGGTGTAAACCGTGGGCTGAGTGAGCCTACAGGCAGCAGGGGCAGTGAGCGAGGCCCCTAGCCAGGCAGACCCCAGCCCCAGGGAGCTGCACTGAGGCCCCTCCCCGCTTAAGGCACCTGGACCACAGGAGCCTCATTTTAACCCAGAGCAGGTGCATTAGACCACAGAATGAGAGGCGGGTCCTTTCACCAGGCTTCTCGCCTGTAGTCTCGTTGCTTCTATATACCAAACAAAAACGGCTCCGACGGTGAAATGTGTGTGGACAGAAAAGCCGGGGTTTCTGGGGGCACAGCCCCTCTTCCTGTTGATGGGGCCCAGGTGATGGGCATTGACAAATGTAGGCACTGTGATTCTACTAAATTATTTATTTACTTAATTTATATATTTATCGGAAAGGCAGATTGACAGGGAGGGAGCAGGGGCATGTCCCCAAACTGCTGCAGCAGCCAGGGCTGGGTCAGGCCACAGCCAGGAACCTGGACACTCGAGCAGGGCCTCCCATGCGGCTGGTGGCCCAGGCACTTGGGCCACCCTCTGCTACCTGCCTGGGAGTATCAACAAGAAGCTGGCTGGCTGGGAAACGGGACTTGCCCGAAATGAGCCCGCTGGTACTGTCCCCTGCACCGCACCCCAGGGCAGGCAGTGCAGGGCCCCATTCCCCTGGGGGTCTCCACATGACCAAATCTCAGCCATATGACTCCATCAGCCAGAGGTTTTCTCGAAGTCTGGTGGTATCTGCAGGCTGACAAGCTGACCACATGCCCCGCCTGTGACATGCAGGACTGAACAGTCAAGGCCTGGAAAATGCAGCACAGAAACCCAAACGCAACCTGCTCATCCCAGCTCAGCTCGGCCTGGCTGGCCATTGCCGCATTCCACAGAGCCCTGGTCGCGACGCAGGAATCCCAGCTGACTCCTCGCTCAGCTGTCCCGCCAGGCAGGCGCTTTACATCCTGCGTCCTCTTGTGCACTGGAAGCATCTTGGCAGAGAAAGAAATGGAACTGGGCGCCAGCGCCCCCCAAAGATCCCCAGGTGCCAGCCTGATGGAGGGCAGAATTTTGCCCTCTGCAGAGCTGCACCGTTTCCAGGAGAGGGTTAGGTCTGGGCTGCACGAGAGCTTTCACACACTGATGGAAACCAGAACACCCCACGTTCCTGGGAGCTGGGGGGCCGCGGGCAAGGCACAAACAGGAAGTGTGGGCCTGCCAGGGTTCTCCCTCTCGCACTGCTGCGACGCCGCCGGGCACTTTCCTAACCACAGACAGAGCCACTAACCATGGGGAGGAATGTACCCAGGAATCTGGTCCTCCCACTCCTGAAAAATAGGTCACCCAGAGCTCGCCGCCTGGGGAAAGCTGCACATTCGGGTGTCTGTCCAAAGCAGCCTCCCCGCTGGTCTCGGCCACCTCAGGGGAACCGCAGCAGACTGGGCGCTCCGAGCATGAGGGCTTCAGATCACGGCGCAGTCACAGAGTCCAGGTGACAGGCTGCAGGTAGAGGGAGGAACCCCGTCCTCGGGACCAAAGGTCTCGGCCGGGAGCAGCCAGGCCTCAGGGCTGGGGCTGATGAAGATGCAGAGTTGCAGCCGGAGCCCAGCTGGACCAGCCCTGCTGTACGTGGAGCTGGCCGGCTCTCAGCCCCGGGCCGTCTGTCTGACCAGCAAACATTGGGCCCGGTTGGTTGTCTCCATCGGCAGGAATGGACTGCAATTTTTATTTTTAAATAACTGCTTTCTGTTCCAGGCCTGAAAAACTGGCCTTCCACCTCCTCCTGTCCCTCTGCCATCCCTTGGGGCTGCGTCATCCTGTCCCTCTGTCCAGCGTCAGGGAGCACCAGGGCAGCCAAAGGAGACCCCTGGGATGCACCTTGCTGTGACATCAGATGCCAAGGCAGGCAACTTCCTGGCCATTCGTATTCCTGCCCACCACCCACCCAATGCATTCACAAAATGGAAACAAGCGAAACCCCAAAGCCCCCCAGAGGACGGCCCTCCGCGCCAGGTGCTGGGTGATCACTGCCTGACCGCAAAGATCCGGAAGGCCTTCCCATCCCGGGGTGCGCTCAGGCTGAAAGAGAAGGGAGAGCACACATTACTGAGGGCTCTGTGGTGGAGGGGATGGAAGCACCACTCAGCACAGCTTGCAAACCAGTGAGGGGAGTTAGGACTCGCCATCCTGGGTCCCCTCCTGGGTCCCACCAGCACCACGTGGCGCCATCTGACTGCCAGAGCGCTAAGCTGGCCCCTGCACCTGCCGCAGGGCAATGCTCCAACATGGCGTCACTGTTGGGTTTGCTGCTATCTGCTCACCAGGTGAAAATGCGCCGGCAGTGTGAGATTCTGGGACTCTGCCCTGACAGAGTCCAGCCGGTCCGACAGCCATAGTGTAGATTCTGCAACTGGGGGTGCACACACCCGCTTCCCAGAAGAGCAGCCATACCATGAGCACCCTGTCTCATTCCCTCAGGCTCCCTGAGCTGGCCCTTGGGCTACTGGTCACCCACACATGCACCCACAGGCTTGTCTGTCTGCCACACGATGGCTGCTGTTCCTAGTCCCAGCCCGCTCTGGGTGGGTTATCCACGCTCTGCTATGACTCAGGCGAAGCGGCCGGTGGCGGTGCAGCCTGGCCAAGAGGAGCGAGAAGGTCTGGGAGAGGTGTCCGGCCCTGGGCTCCAATGCCCAGCATGCCCCACACTGTGATCAGGGACTCATTTTTCTGAACAGATATGTCTAGCTCTGCTGCCTGCCTGGCCCCTAACGGGTACATGTCCCAGGACCCGAGATAACCCCCACCCTACCTCCAGCACCGTGCCTGTTGCCACTGTGCAAACCTGTGCTTCCAGCACTTCCGGCAGACTTGGTGACAATGCCCACAATCACCTGAGGTAAGTCCCTTGATCTCTCCAGCTTCCTGAGACAAGTGGACAAGGGCCTGGTGGAAGATGAGGCTCCCACACACACCAGGCCCAAACCAAATGGACCCATGCATGCCACCGGACTCCAAGAGGGGCCCAATTTCCCAGACCCGGGACTGGCCCAGCAGCAGCCACCATGGGCAACCGAACAGGTGAGGACAGCCCAGCCCATCAAGGCCACCTGCACCTGCTTCCTCATCCTGCAACCAGAGCCTGCCGCCCACCAGTGCCTTTCTTCTCTGCACACGAATGCATCTTACATCAGCCAAGTCCGCCTTCCAGGGGCCACAGAGAGCAGGCTCAGCCAACACCAACGCCAGGCTGGGAAAGCTCTCCCGGCCAGTGGGGGTCGGTGAGAACACTGAGGCATGGCTTTGCGTGGCAGGGGGGAGGAAGCCTGCCTGTGGGGGATTCTCCTCTCCTGGGGCGCCCCTGCACCTGCAGCAGCCACAACCCGCTTCTCACACAGACAATCCACCCTGCAAATGTGGGGAGGGACTGCACCAGCACTCCTCCTGATGAGGGCCTTAGCATGTGTGCCCTCTGGGTAGAGCTGCTTCTGGGCTGGTGCCCCGTTATATGATACTAAGCTTTTGTCGACACACAGGTATCCAGGGACAGTGACAAGCTCTGAGGAGTGGCATGGACCAACAGATGCACTTGTAAAGCTGACAGCTACCAAATGAAGGCAACACCAATGGACCCCACTCAGGGTCCCAGGTTCTTAGTCAACACAGGGACGGGCATGGCATCCGGTGAGTTTCGGCGCTTTGCTTACAGGGAGTAGACTTGAGTCACAAGCCAGGCATGATTTGTCAGCACCATTTCCCGCATGGATAGGGTCTCTGGGACCCAGTGGACAGCACTGGCCACCAGCCACCTGGGCACACACACAGCTCTGGCCATGTGGAATTCCTGGTTGTTTGTCGTCCTTCCCCACAGCAGCCTCTAGCTTTTGGCTACCCTGGGGTTGAACTCTGGCAGTGCGCATCAGATGGGAGCACTCCCAGAGTGGGGCTGTGAAGAGAAGCCAAGAGCTGGGAGGCAGCTGACCGCAGCAGCAGCCCCAAGAGGAGGCAGACAGCCGCCAGGGCTGTGTGACCTGGCCGCCCTGCTGCTCACTGGGCAGCACAGACCCTGGGGTCCTCCCCGCCTTCAGGACTGGGAGCCCCCATCCCTGGTCTCTGCATGTGGTGGGAAGGTCTTGGGACCCTGTATACCCCTGGAATCACCCTGGGGCTGGAGACCCCATAGACTGTGGGTTCTCACTCACACCCCCACAGCAAGGGGGATGGGGGAGCCACTTGGGCTGCCATCCAATCCACTAAGCAACCACACTCCAAGCCCCAGCCCCCGTGTCCTGGGCCTGGGAAGTCAACAGGCACAAGCGAGAGGAATGTGGCCTCTTGTCTGGGTGCTGCTTATACCCCAGGCCTACCCCTGTGGGAAGAACCACAGTAGCTGGCAGGGGGTTGGGCCAGAGTTCTGGAGCCATGTCACAGCCACACAGGTCACCCAGTCCCCCACCACACACATATGTCCCCCAACAAGCCATCACAAGAGTCATCACATATGGGATCACCTGAGCTTCCCACTGACCCCTGTGTCAGAGGAGGGAACTGAACTGCAGGTGGACTCGGTCATCTTACTTCACAGCCCCCATGCTCAGGAGGGTCATGTCGGGGAGCTGCTGTGAGGGCTCTGCAACCACCAAACACACCTGTCCCAGAAGCAGCAGCTTCAGGGTTGGGAACCTGCACCCCAGGGAAGCAACAGGAGAGCAGCTGCTGTGGGCTGCCTTCCCCCACCAGGCCCCAGATGCCAGCCCCCAGGAGGCTGCCGGGCAGAGCCCAGGCCACAGGCAGCAGGTGTTCTGGGGTTGTTCCACTGCCAGGGGATCCCACCTCACCAGCTGCTCCGCCTCCCACTCTCTAAACGCACCGAGCTCCCGTCATCAAGTTTCCCCCAGTGGCGGCATGTGGTGAGAGCGAGGGCAGGAACTGTGGGGGCCGCCAGGTGGGTGGGATCCCCGACCCAGGCTGGCCCTGCTGCTTTGAAGCGCCTTCCCTACCCAGTGCCCAACGCATGGCAGCAAGCCAGGAAGTTCAGTGGCCCTGCAGGTGGCCCCTGGCCAGCCAGCTGGGGTCCGTCAGGGACATGGCTTCTGTAGACAGACAGCCACTGGAAGGCACAGTTGAGGGCTGGGGCTGTAGGAGATGCTAGCCCCACCTCGGGCTCAGAAAGCACTGCACAGCTGAGAGGACCCAGGCTGTCCAAGCCACCCGACTCTGGTGCCCGCAGACCCTGACCTGCCCTAGGGGGAGCGCAGATCGCCCCTGCCCACTGACAAGGACCGAGACGCGGGTCCCTTGCTGTCTGTGACAACAGCGGTGTGCATGAATGGGAGAAAATAGATGAGCATCCCTAATCAGGTTGGGTCCCTTTCTGAGGAATGTTCTAGAAAGGCTTATGCAAAGCCTTGGAAATCCCATGCAGAAATCCCTCTTCCATGGGCTTGGAAAAACAGCTGCATTGTGCAAGGACACCCCCAGGAAGCTTTGCCCCATGGGCAGCATACAACCAAAACCTCAATGAGGCAACAGCAGCGCTCTCCTCAATGCAACCCCACAATCTCCCCCAGGCCCTGGTGTCAGGGGCATCAACCCCATCTCCACATCCCACTCATCCTGTGGGGCAGGGACTCTTGTCCCATTTCACAGATGAAAACACTGAGGTTCAGAGCCTGGGGTTGCGCCCTCCAGGCCCCCTGCCGGGCTCACAGCCCCTCCCAAGGGGTCCGAGTGGCTCACCCCCGCATCAGGAGTCCGAGGAACTGCCCGTACCTTTCCGACTGAATGCCGTTCCTGAGTGAGCCCACATAGCCCTTCTTGGCATCGACCGGCATCACGTCGACGGGGCCCCCGACCTCGTCCTGGATGACTCCAGCGTGCACGGCTGTCCTACAGATGCTCGAGTTCTGAAGGAGGAGAACAGCTGCGGTCAGCATGGGCGTGCCGAGTGGGGGGGCAGGAGCTGACTGGGCTCCCTGTCCAGAGGGCATGGCTGGGCACGGTTCTGTCCCCACTCCAGCCCCCTGCAAGGGACCTGCAGCAGCAAGTAAGCCACCTGCAGCCCCTGCTGACAACACTGGAGCCTCCTCCCAGAAGGAGGCGAGGCAGAGCCACGAGGAAACCCCATGTGGCTCCCCTGAGGTAGGAAGTCTAACCGAGGCCGCAGGCAGCACGGGGTGGCGGGGTGAAGCCTCGGGATTCTGTGACCCAGCTGCCCACTGCCCAGGACCAATTCCCCTGACGTGAAAGCTGCATCCCTTGCCGCCTGCTCCTCACTCCAAGACAGATGGAAGAGCCACCCCAAAGCCTAGGATAGCCATCTCTGTGGGTGTCAGCCCAACACCCCACATGCTGTGCGTGGCTGCTGCTCACATGGAGGGAAGGAAACAGCAGAGCCAAGGCTTGGGCCGCAGCCAGCCTTCCACACATGGCTCTCTGAGGGGCAGTGAGAGGGAGGGCTGAAGGTGTGAAGGGAGAGAGTGGGGCTCAGGGCTTAGCTGGGCAAGCAAGCACCCCTGCCCACTGCCAGCAAGGACAAGCCCCCCTGCACCCAGGCCTAGGTCAACAGTGGCTCCAGCACCTGGGACCTTACACGCAGGTGTCCCGGCTGTACCCCAGCTCCACTGGGTCGGAAATACTGTGGTGGGGTTTGGAGCAGTCTGAAGGGGCTTGTGATCCATGCACGGGTGCAGGAGCCTGTCCCAGCACAAGAGGCGGGGACAGGTGGAAAGCTGAGGCTTGGAGAAGGAAGATTCCCCCTCAGTATCTTGCAGCTGGTAATTGCCTTGGCAGAAGTTTCAGCTGGGGTCTCCTGCCCAGGCCTTGCTCTCAGATCCCACCCTGATGCAAAGCCAGGGAGAGGCCTGCCAAGGAACATACTTCCCCGGCAACAGCGGCACGGCCGTGCCCTTGGAAGTCTGGACACAGCGCTCCCAAAATAAACCTCTCTACACTTTTTCCAAGAGCCATCGGCATTTCCCAGAAGACAGAGTGACCTAAAAACCAGGCCAGAAAAGGACACCCCGAGTGGAGGGAATTCCTTCTTCCTCTCCCTCCCTGGCCCTCTGCCTGCTACAGCAAACACAGAGCCAGCAGCTGTCGTAAAGCCTCTGGCAAGCATGGGGACCCCAAAAGCTCAGCCTCCACTCTCCGAGAACACCATCATTACACAGGTTTTGCCCACATAGCTCTCTGGCTGTAGGCCTTGGGCGTACCAGCAAGACAGAGCAGGTGGTGGGCACCAGAGCCCTGTGCTGCAAGCCAGCTGGGCTGTTTGCGGGGCAGCGTGCTCTGGGCTGCGGCTTCTCGCCGTAGCCTCTTGGGGAATGATATCGCGAGAGGGCAAGTCAAAAAGCAGCTGGATCAGAAGTGGCTTCCCACTCCTGCTGAGAGCCAGGACCACATCTGCCTATGTGGGTCACCACCTCCCCACACCCTGGACGAGGTTAGGGGACACAGCATGCACAAAAACTGGGGCTCAGCTGGAGCGACGGAAGAGAAGAGACTCCGGGAGCAGAAGAGGCTAGTCCCAGGCAGCCAGCGAGGGATGATCTGTATCTCCTCCTGAGGCTGCTAGCTGAGTGACTGCACGGTCAGAAAGAGGCGTGACCACTGCATCTGACCATCCAAACCTGGCAAAGCCCAGCAAATGAGGCTGAGGGAGGCCCTGCCCCATGTTCACAGCCCATGTAGGGGGTGCTGTGGTCCCTGGCATGGGGAAGCCAGAGCAATGGTTGCAGGCAGGAGCAGCCTGGAGCCAGTGAGCAGCAGTGCAGAGGAGTCTCTGGTTCTGGCCACACACAGATCATCGCACCAGTTTCTGAGGGCTGAACGGGCCACTCGGTTCCCTCCACTCGGGGTGTCCTTTTCTGGCGTTGTTTTCAGGTCTCTCTGTCTTCTGAGAAATGCCAATGGCTCTTGGAAAATGTGTAGTTGAGAGGGCTACAGAAGCAGTCGGGGGAAGGTCGGATACTCACATCTGTGTAGACGTTGGTTCCGATGACGGGTGCCCAGGAGGACGACTCCTCTCCACAGCGTGCTGGGCATCGCACCCTGGAAGACACGACAAGTGCATGGTGGGTGCAGCCTGCAAGGTAGGCCCTCAACCCTGGAAGCCTAGGACCTCGGTCCCTGCGTGGACACTCACGGCCCCCTTCCCCACCAGCAGGGCTCTGGGATCACTTGCTATGCTCATTCAGGGCCTGCAGGCTCCTACAGCCTCACATGCAAACCTAGTGACCACATGGGGACCACACACGCTAAGGACATGGCCAGGAAGAAAGTGGGGTGTGAGGCCTCCATGGAGGGAGTTAGCAGCCTGTATGTGGGTGTACAGTCAGGATGAACAAGCCTCTGCATGGTGCCATTCCTGTGTGTGGCTGAGCAGAGGGTACGGGTCCAGAGAGGGGACTGCCGAGAATGGGGGCGGGAAGGGCTGACCACTGCTGTGCTGCCCCATGGTGGCCCAGGGCTGAGGAGAAAACCTCTTGCTGCCATTGGGAAAGCCTTGCTGGTCTGAGATTCAAGGCAGGAAACAGTCTGAGCTTGGAGTTGGCACTGCAGCTTAGCATGTAGAGCTGCAGCCTGTGAAGCTGGCATCCCATATGGGCACCGGTTTGTCCCAGCCACTCCACTTCCAATCCAGCTCCAGAGGATGGAACACCCAGAAGAAGCCCTCTTGAGGCTTTTCCTTGTCCAGATCCTGGAGTCCCCACTTATGGTCTCCCTGACATGTGATGCCCAGGCACCAGCCTGCAAGAAGCAGTGCCTCCCACCCAACCCAGTGCATCAGCCTGGGCTGCCAGGGGCCCCTGCTGTGTTCATTATCTCAATGTAGGGGCTGGGCCTAGGGAACCACCTGCCCTGCTCCCAGGAGTCACTATTTTCATCTGAAGGGGCTTCTCTGGCAACTGAGATAGCGAGGGCGTCCAGTGGTCCTTTCCAGGGGGACCAACAGGTCTTCCGGGGACATGAGCTGTTTCACACCATGAGGCATAGGCCTCCCCGGGGTCTGTAACCGCAGACAAGTACCCCACAGCACAGCCTTGGACCCCAACTCCACACCAAGCACCCTGCACACCTGGGTGGCCAGGGGCTTGTCCTCCTACTGGGATAGGACCTCAGGGTCCCCCTCTGGGCTGAGGATAATGTTGGGGCTCTCCATGGCGGCCACGGGCCATTCCTCATGGAGACATGCCCTGGGCTGCTCCTCCTGCACACCTTGATAAAACCGATTTGGAAAACAGCTGCCTCTGCAATGATCACAGAAGAATCACAGGCCAAGCACAAGAGACAGGCAAGAGCTCAAGGGCACTGACCCAAATCAAGGCGTTTGTTCTTTGCAGAGTCCAGGCGACTCTGGGACAGTTACATGGCCCGAGGCCCACAGGACCCACCCTCTGGGGCTGCTCTGGACAACTCCACCGCCCGGTGACCCTGCTGAGAGTCTAAGGAAGGAGCCCAGGCACCCGACCTCAGTGTGTAGCCTCAGACTTGTAGGTGCCACCCAGCCTGGCAAGTGCTTCTCTCAGCCCCAGTGGAGGAAAACCCAACGTCAGTGAGGCCCTGCAGGGACACCTCTGTACCCATGAGAGGTGGCACTTCCAGCTCTGCCCAGCCTCCACTCAGCTAATCCCTCTGACCCCCAACTTACCTCGGGCAATGAGCCATGGGCTTCTGAAATGGGCAGAGCTGAGCCACAGTGGTATAACAGTCCAGGTCTTGCACTGGAAATGGGAACATGGGGACAAGGGTCAGTGGCCCCTGTAAGCCTGGGCTTCTGGTGCCCAGTCTGTGCAATGGACTGCTAGGGCCAGATAAGGGTTAGCTGAGGTGAGACACAGACCTGCATGTATCTGTGGATGAAGACTGCTGTGTCCCAAGCCCTCACAGGGTGCAGGGGAGGCCCAGCTTCCTGCCCCAGACCCCAGCCTGGGGCTCCTGCTTCTAACCAGGAGCTTGCAGGAGCAGCCTCATTCCTGCCAGGGTCACGTGCCTCTTCCCGAGTCACTAGCTAACAGGGTTTCATGCTGGCCACCTGTAGACACATCTGCATACCAATTCCTGTCTGGGCCAGGCTTGGATTGGCCATCTTAACCAAGCAGATGGGAAAAACTGGACTTGGCATGTTCATGTCGAGGTGGCTCAGCACCCCAAGGTGCTTCTGCTCCAAAGGTTACTGGGGAGATCAGTGGTGACTGGGTGCCAGTGCCGTGGTACAGGGGGTAAAGGAACCACCGGAGATGCAGGCATCCCACATAGGCACCGGTCATGTGTCTGCGACTGCACTTCCCACCCAGCTCTCCACTAATGCACCTGGGAAAGCAGCAGAGGACGGCCCGAGGGCCTGGGCTCCTGGGCCATGTGAGATCCAGATGGAGCTCCTGGTTCTTGGTTGTGACCTGGCCCATCTTCCAGCAAATGGAAGAGCTCTCTCCCTCTGAGAACTCGGAAGGTTAGGAGGTGTCTCGACCCAGGCAGCAGTGCCAGGCCTGTGCTCCTGCCCCAGCACATGGTGGCTTAAGAAACAAGATCAAGCAACGACCTGCACAGGGGCCTCTTGGAAAAGTCAGAGATGCCGAGAGCAATGATGGAGCAGGTGTAATAGTCAAGGAGAAAGAGAATCTCCAGGGAGACGAGACGCTCTATGACTGCAGTTCCCAGGAGACTGGCCAGCTTACCGTTCACTTTGGACACCAGGAATGAGCTGGAGGGCTTGTACTTGCTAGAAGAGAAAATGCTTAGGTGAACGTCGGCTGAGGGCAGCTGGGGACGCACCTGCTCCTGGCCTTGCCTTCCCACAGCTTCCACGCTTACACTTCCTGTTTGACTCCTTCCATCTCACCCTAACCCCCAAAGCTCTCAGAATATTCTAGAGCAGGGCTTCTTAACCCTTTTGGTACCAGGGACACCTCTGGTAGGTCTAATAGAATCCAACCTGAAAGTTCTAAAATGCATAAGGTCAGCTTGAAACACCACAAAGGAAATCAGCATGGTTATGGAGCAGTGAGATGGCCTTGCAGCACAGCCGCCGCTGGCACTGCCCAACTTACCTAGACACAGGGTTCTAACCACTCCTCACCCCAACCCTGGTCATCACAGCAGGGAGTCATGGGGTGCTAGAAAGGTGCTGGCCTGGTTGGCAGTCAGCATTCACTGGGGAAGAAAATGCTGCATCTCCACCGCCAGTTAGCAAGACTAAAGCTGGAATGCGGCTCGTGGCGCCATTCACAGGCCGCCAACTGCTACCATGTGAAGATCCCCTGCTTCAGATACCAAGGCAGCCATGCCAGGCACTAAGAGGCGAGGCTGTAGGTCAGAAGCCTGCCAATGACCTAGCTCTCAGGGTGACTGCCTGCACACTTAGTTGCCCTACAGCCATGTTGGCCACCCAACCACAGACTCCACAAAGAGCAAAGACCCCCCATATTGCTTTGTTTCCCTGAGCACACCCCAAGACCCCACGCCACAACAGCAGCCAGAGCACCTGCTGCCCAAGTGATCTTACAGCTCCCGGACAACCCTGGCCCTGGGCGTGGCCAGACAGGACAGGTAGCCATAGCAGGAGGACATGGAACCAGGTCTCCCTGACCTTGGGCCCTCAGCTCCCTGAGACCAGGCCCTGCCTCCACCTCCTACCATCGCCCAGGAAGTTGGAGAGCTAGGGATGAGTCTACCCCAAACCCCACCTGACAATCATCTTAGGGAAAAGAGTTTCGGGCTTAGGGCTTCTGCACAGAGCTATCTCCTGCCCCAACATCCCCAGTCCCAAGCCTTTTGAGGGGTTAACGTGAACTCTCAAGAAAGCCTGGCTGTTGGAGCAGTTCAGAGGAAGGATGTTCAACCAGCAGGTGCATGAAAAAAAGCTGCAAGTCTGAAACCACAGTAGGGCATAAAAAGCAGTGGCAGCTGCTGGTGGCAGTGAGCGCCTCGCTGTTTAGGCTAGGAACAAAGCATGTGTCAGGATTCAGTGTGGGCCCAGCAGCCATGCCATGGGCCCAGTACCCATGCTGTGGGCCGAGCAGCCACACTGTGCACACAGCAGCCATGTCAGAGTGTTCACAGAAAACAGCAGGGTCTCCAGGAGCTTCCTCTGGGTTCTGGGTGGATGTGCTTTCCCTCTGTCCTACACCCGAATGTGGCCCCAGTCTCCCCACCCACCCCTCCCCAGGACGGGCCAGGCCAGGGCCGCGGACCCCACAGCCCGCTTACCTGACGGACTCTATGCCGTTCTTGTGTGACTTCACGAAGAAGGGCATCCTGCCGTTCCTGGTGATGTCCACCAGGCCCCCGTTGTCGTCCAGGACTCCGTAGTGGATGGCAGCCCGGCAGATGCTGGATGACTGTGGGGGAGGGGGGCCACACACACCACACTCAATGCTGCTTTGTCACCAGGAGCCCAGATGCTTACCTTAGCTCCCAAGCGCCAGGCAGCACACACCGCTCCGTGCCCCATCCACCCCACCACGCCTCCCCACCCAGGCCATAACCACCTCTTTGTTCCTGGGGCTGCTTATCTGGGAAACCTCATCAGAGGCACTTAGGCAGAGACAAGCAGCCCTTTCTCTCCACGCAGCCAGGTGGGCATTCATTCCAATTTTAGTATATGTGTTACAGAAGTGAGTACCAGGTGAGCACTTGAACACCCAGTCCCAGCTCCCAACCGTGGGGGCACCAGCGGGTAATCCCATGTGTCTGCGTGGGAATTGGCACTGGCCACGCCAAGTGTGACCTGCATACTTTGAACACAGAGCGCAATGGCACACAAGCTATGCCAGGAAACACTGGTCACACTTACACTTTCGTAAAACAGAGACCCAAACACCTTGGTCTTGTCGTGCAGGCAGCCTGCTGGACAGTGGTACCTAGCAGAGAGGAGGTGGAGCGGTGGTCAGAGAGGCAGGCGCCTGTGGTGGGTTCCAGGCTGTGAACACAGGCGCTCACCACCGCTGGCTCCGTGGTGCCTCCCCGGGCCACGCCACAGGGGGCCTTCACAAACATGGCAGTCCCCTCCCCCCGCCACCACCCTCATGTGCAACCTGGCCTTGAAGGCACAAGAGAACACAGGTACCTCAGAGGAAGGACAGGTGGCTTCAGGTGCACCCCGACCCCCTCGAAGCTCTGACTTCCAATGGGACGAGTTTAGAGGATCAGACACTTCCTGGAGACCGAACCGCCTGGCCTTTAAATCCAGCAAAATCCAGCAACGATGGAAGAGAATGGCTTGCCTCAACCCTTAACCTCAAAAAAACCACAGCCTCCGCCTCCAGGGACACAATTCAAGCTCATGGCCAAATGGCCAGACCAATGCAGATGGCGGGAAGGTTAGAAGCATGGGAGAACAGAGAGGCATGGCCAGACTTGAGGGTGCCATCTCTGAGCTGGATGCAGCCACTAACAGATATGCAGCTGGGAAGGCGCCTAGAGGGGAAGCCACTCAGCTGCTGACTCCGACTTCCTGCTAGTGCGGATCTGATGGCCCAGGGAGCCTGGTCCCTGCCAGTGGCGTGGTGAGCTGGTGGAGTGCCAGCCTGGTCCTGCCCTGGCTGCTGTGGGCACCTGGGGAGCGAGCCTGCAGGTGGGAGCTGGCACCCAGCCTCTCAAGTAAGTCATTACAATTGCTACTGGGCTCCATTAGATTCTTGGATACTTAGTATTTTTTTTTTTCTTATACTTTGTTAAAGTCAGAAAAGCAAGGCCTGCAGAACACATTTAGTAAAAATTCACAAACAGCAAAATAGCCAGTAGGTCATGGACAGGCTTCCCGGGGGGGAGACAGTGGGGTGCTCCTGTACTTCCTGTCCAGAGGCTCCTCCCCATCATACTGTGGGGCAAATGCCTGTCTACCCACGCCTGTCCATGCCCACTGGCTGACAATGCTTGAGCTGCGCTATGAAACCCCAGATCCTCAGTGTGGGGGATGACATCCTGTGTGCCAGGCACCTACAGGCAGCACCCCACCATGGAGCACCAGGCACAGCTCCCCCGGTCCCCCGATTGTTGCACCCCTGACTCTGGTGATTGGCTGACCTCTGGCTGGCTGTTCAGGGGGCTCTGTGAGGGCTATGGCAGGTCCTCAGCCCTGCCCAGGTGTGCGTGAGGTGTCCCCCCAGCAAACCAGACAGTAAACTCTGAATTTCAAGGCAGGAGCCTCCACTTTCTTCGTCTAACAAGCACTCACAGGAGCCCCTGCGAGCATGAGAACCAACGCCAGCACTCACAGGAGTACCGTGAGATCCCCTCTCCAGGAGGCACGATTTCCCATCACAAAGCTGAAGGTCAGCTAGTGTCAGCTGCACCTGTCATCGGCAGCTGCCAGAAAGAGCAGCCAGCACATCTAAGTGCTCAGCCACAGGACATGCGGGTGCCTTGCTCTGAAGCAGCCCCACTGCCAGCCTGCAGCAGACCTAGGACCTGCCAATGCCACGGCTAAGGCTCTGCCAGGTCACCTGGGCCCTGGCGCTTGTCCAGCACCTTCTGCAGGTGCAACATAGAGCGCTGGGTTGTGCTGTAGCCTGCTGCAGCTGAGCCACTGAGCAGCTGGGCAACTGGCTCCCAAGTGCCTGCAATGGCCAGAACTGCACTGATCCAAAGCCAGGACCAGGAGCCTCTTCTAGATGGAGCTCCGAGCCAGGCACTGATCATCAGTCGCCTGTGTGTCCCAGGCGTAGTGGTCTGTGTAGTGGCCACTTCCAGAGCTTGAGGTTCCCTCTCTCACTAGGCCAGAGCATCTGCAGTTGAGGCACCTGCTGGAAAGCTCTCCTTGCCCAGGCAGACATGGGCTGGCACGGAGGAAGTGGCCACAGACTGACAGCACTAGGGCAGGTTCTAGAATGCACGCTTCCTTCAAGAACACCTTCACAGGAACACCTATACCCCGAGCTAGATAATCACGTGACCCGGTGTGCCCAGGACTGCCAGTGCCAGCTCTGGGAAAGTTCCAGTTGAGTTGGGACTGGCTAGTCACCATCCCCAGTTTCCAGACCATTTGTAGGGCCATGGAAAAGAATGAGGGTCGTGTCACCACTGCAGTGACAGCTGTTCTGTGAAACCCCAGTGTACCTGCCCTTGCTGTCTGCTCTGTCTCCCTCTGCCCGGGCCTGTCGGCCCCGTGGAAGCCTTCTGTCCACAACTCCTTATGTACCTGGAATTCCTGCAGATCCAGGAGGCTGAAGACCCTGGTCTACCCCTGCAGTGCCAGGTACCATGGCTTTGAGCTCCCCACACATAAAGTGGTCCCAGCCACACAGAGTGTGTAGGCCCAGAAGTCCTACAGAAACAGCTCAACCCATGTGCTGAGCTCTGAGTTGGTGGTGGGGGTCCAGTGGAACCACGACACATGACCAGGAACACCTTATGGGCTACAGGCAGTGGGTGCCATTTTCCCAGGAGTCTGCTCAGCGTGGCTCAGGCAGTGACCTGACAACAGATGAGGATGTGACGTCTGACCCACGGCAGGTACTCCAAGAAGGGTAGGCCCAGCCCAGAGCTCACCTGTTGCAGGTGGATCCCTGGCACTTGTCCTTCATTTTGGTGTCACACTGGATGACTTGGGCTGGGAGAGAAACATGGAAATGAATGTCACGAGTGAGTCTGGGTTAAAACACCTCCCTTCCAGCCCACTCTGAGGGACCTTCTAGAAGATCCCAGAACCCACTCCAGAGCAAGGGCAGTGCCTGGCAGGCCCTGGTGTTCTAGTGGCCATGGGAGCCTGGACAAGAGTCCTTCATACTGCAAGGGTGTGTGTGCCAGGAAGAGTACACTCACAGCTCAGCAGGCAGCAGCATGGGGGTCTAAATGGGAAGGCCAGGAAGAGGCTACAACCCAGCCTGTGGGGCCAGCCATTCCCACCAGTGTCAGCCATTTCCTGATTCTGTCTCATTTCTTATTGGGAATGGCACTTTCACTTAACAACAGCTGCCTTGACTACTACATGGTGATGTCACACGACATCGTCACCTTGGACCTTAGGACAGAGCAGGGCACAGAAAGACGGTGGGGGGAAGAAGGGGCTGGGGTTCTGAGGAGGCTGAGCACGGGCCTCTCCCTGAGGCCAGTCCATGAGAGACCCTCGGGTTCACCCGGGCAGATAGAGGCAGGGGCCTTCAGCTTCCGGCCATGTCTTCAACAAAAACTGCAGGCCTAGAGCCTGATCCCAGGATTCATGGGCGGTGCTAGGCCTACCTGGGCAAGCAACATGCGTGGGGACCACAGGGACACTCAGAATTTGGGGCGCTCCTGGGGAAAGCATGTGGCTCCCCACACCTCAGCAGCCACTGCCACCAACTCTGTGATTTCAACATACGGGGAGACCCCCGACAACTGCAACCCTGACACAGGCTGGCCGCTGCTGCATCATGGGTGGGCAAGGACAGGCTCAAGGAGTTCCACCACGTGCCGAGGCCCAGGCAGCACTGGCTGGGTCCAGCCCAGGGAGCCACCGGAGGGACGAGGGAAGGGCTGACCTTCCGTGCCACCCTACTCCACTCTGGGGCTCTCCTGGAACATGGCTTAAAAACACCCTTCTCAGGGTCCTGTGTTACGGTGCCCCTGCAATGCCAGCAGTCCACATGGCAATGCCAGTTTGTCTCCCGGTTGCTTTCTTCTGATCCAGCTCCCTGCTGAAGCACCTGGGAAGGCAGCAAGACGGCCCAGGTGCTCGGGCCCCAACACCCATGTGGGAGACCCCGGATGGGACCCTGAGCTTCTGCCATCTGCCGTTGCAGTCTTTTGGCTGGATAAGCCAGCAAATGAAAAACCTCTCTCTCCCCTCTCACCCTCTCTCTTGTCTTCCATCACTCTGGTTTCTGAATAAATAAATGAACAAGTAAGTCTTTCTCTGCGCCATCCCCCACCCCTAGTCCACTCGAGACCCCTGCTACCCGCTCCACCAGCCCCTTCAGGAGGCCTCGGCCCACTCACTCATGTAGCTGACAGTGGCTGTGCCCTTGGGCTTCATGGGCCTGGTCACCCGCGGCTGGATCCACACATGTTTTTCTTGGGGAATGGAAGCTGTCTCCACCTCGTTCATCTCGTCCGTCTCGGGCTTTGGGCTGCGGGTCTCCTCTTGGTGGTGGTGAGGGGGAGAGATAACACAGGGAGTCAATGAAAACGCTTTCTGGGCCAGGGCAGCAGGGGCGGCGGAGGGGAGCAATTTGGAAACCAAACACGTTTGAGGTCTGGGCTCACAAAGACGCACTTGAGTGGCAAAGAGCAAGCTGCAGTGCTGGGCAGCCTGGCCAGGAAGGGAGCCAGAAGTACTCGTGTTTGCTTGGGAGAGGTGAGTAGGCCCAGCGCCCACACACACCTGCCCTGGAACAGCTCCTGCCCCACAAGGGTTGTAGGTGGGTACCCTGGGGTCTCCTGCAGTTCCTCTGCCAAGAGGCGTGGGGCCCCCACATCCACACATGGAGTGTGGGGTAGGGCACCATTCACATGATTCACCCATCTCTGCTCCACCCCCCAGAACACCACAGCTTCCAATTCCCACTGCCCCCAAAAGGCCGTGACTCCAGCTATTTAAACCCTTCGCTCCTTAAGCAGTCATGTACTCATCTTCCACATTTCCAACTGCAAAGTCAGACAGGACACCCGTAAGCAATCTCCAGCCAAAGCCAGAGCAGGTGGCTCTCTGCGCCAGAGATGGTCCACATCCACACGAGCCCATCTTAAGGCGGAAACACAAGCAATTTTCACTGCCACTCGAGACACCAGCATCCTATACGGACACCGGTTCAAGTCCCAGAGGATCTGCTTCTAATCCAGCTTCCAGTTAATGCACCAGGGAAGACAGTGGACATCGGCTCAAGTACCTGGGTCCCTGTTGCCCCTTCCCACACCTACATGCTCCGCCTGTCCAACAAATAACTAAATAAACCTCTCTGCAAACTGCAATGGGGCGCAGCAAGCAGCTCAGCCCCATAGTGGGGCTAATGGCCTACAGCCCGCTTCCTAGAAAAGTGTGGAAGTGTCATTGCCCAGAGGAGACCCAGACTCATGTCCAAAGCCCTCCTCCTGCCTCTCACACTGCTATGAAGTCACAATGTCCCAAATGGAGTTACCGTTGGCCAGCAGCTGTCTGCAGGGTGCATGTATGACAGGCCCCCCTGAGGGACAGTTTGTGGTTCTCAACAGCAGCCCTGTCATCCGTAAGGGACCATCCATCCCCTAGCCCATGTCCACTCACCCCAAAGGCCAAGAGACGCCTCTCCCGGGGTAGCAACCCAGCACCTCTGCCCCCATGCCTTCCCAGGCTGGGGCCGCCAGCCCAGACCAACTCTGACAAAGCTGAGGCTGGGGTAGAAGGGGCCCTGGAGCCCCAACTGCTCTCAGGCAGGCCCCCAGCTCCCACAGGATGCCAGTACCCAAGCAGCTGGAAGCTGTCTCCACCCAACACTGTCTGGCACACCTGGCAGAACCTGCTGCCACAGGTACCAAACTACCACATATTCTGCCACCTGGAGACACAGCACAGAGACCAGTGGCAGGGCCAGGAGGGCCGTGAGAGTACCACAGTGGCCATCGTGTCTGGGCCCTACTGGAAGCCCCATGTCTGAGAGGCCGTCCACCCTGCCCGTCAATGCAGCCATTCATGCCGTCCCGACTGATGGCCGCAGCTGGCTGGGGCAGCAGCCGGGGTTCTTCCACTGGCTTCTAGGAGTTGAGACCTCATAATTGCACCTTTATGTACCCAAATACAGTGCGGAAAAGCAGCGACAGCCTTGGAGGGCTTCCTGTGTCAGACAGGCAGACGGTCCTCACCCCTCAACACTCACACACACACACTCCGGATTGCTGGCCCACCGTAATGACAGTCGCCCCCCCACACACAACAACAACCAAGGTTACCCCAAGGTCACTGTGTGCATCAGCCAGCCCCAGGCCCGGGTCTCAGCCCCCAGCACCATCTCCATGCCCAGCAGACACCCCTGCCTGCTACTAGCATCCACACAGGCTCTTCGGCCTTAGGAGACACTGCTGATCCCCATCTCATAGAGGTCCTCCTAGCCAAGGCTCAGAGTGGCTGAGGTACCAGCCAAGCTCACCCCGTGGCCATGCAGTCAGACAGCCAGGCCAGGGGCCAAACCTCCTTTCCCTGAGCCGGGAGGGGTCATGGAGGGGCGGGGGAGCCTTTCTCCTTGGCTGCTGATCTCTCCATTACAGGTCACGGCCTCACCAGCCACTCTCAATCCACGCTGATTAAGGAGCTTACGCAGATAAGCTGCTTACCAGGGGAGTCTGCTTGGCCAGCCAACAAGCCCCCCCGCCCCGGCTGACACCTGCCAGGAGGAGCTGGGCATTTCTCCCCCAGCCAGCAGGCGGGTACATGGGGCTCCGCCGGGGGTGGGGAGATGTGTTAGGGCCTTGGCATACAGCATGTGCTCTGGGGACATGGGAGGCAGGGCATGCTGGCTCAGAGGCCACACGCCTCTGGAAGAGCCAGTAGTTGTGGCAGTGGGGAGGGTCTGTGAGGAGCATGGGCCTGGTGAGCACACGGCGGAGGTGGGGTAGCGTGGAGTGGGGCACCATCTCTCTGTGGAGTATAAGAAGGCTTCCCGGAGGGTGGGGATGGCACCTGAGCTGGACAAGGGACGTAGGCTTCTATCAGTACTCGCAGACACCTCTCCCTTGCTGCTGTTGCCTCTTACCCTGGGAGCCCCTGCAGCGGGCACAGCTACCCTCCCAGGATCGGGCACACAGGGTCACTTCCTCCTGACTGCCCTCCCAGCACTCTGCCTGGTCTCCTGGGTGCCACAGGGCTTGTTGATGGAGTCCCAGGAAACCCCAACCTCAACCTCACAGGCCAGAAGCCGCTGGCCGAGACCCGGCCCTGCAGGACATGGTTTCTGGAGCCTGAGGGACACCCCAAACGGAGAGAAAACTTGGGGCACAAGAATCATGACAGAAGCACCGGCCGGCCAATAGCACCTAGGAGAGGCAGGATGGAAATGGCCCCCAGAGAGCTGGCCTGGGAGAGCCCAAGAGACCAAGCCAGGGGCAGAGGAGGGCCCACCTCACCTTCCTGCTGTGGGAGTCTTGCCTGCTGCTTGCCTCATGCCAGACCCCAGGCACCAAGAAGCCGAGGAGGGTCTGTGCTTGAGGCCGATTCCAAGACCCCATAAGGGGCAGAGTGGGGTCTCCAGGAACCAGGACTGGGGTGCTGCAGGCGACACACTCAGGGTGCCTGCAGCAGGCCTGGACTGAAGTGACCACCCATGAATGCCCTACGACGGATGCCCAGGTCCCCACTGCCTACCTCGGTAGCACAGGTTGTCCTTGCAGCCACCTGCGTAGTCAGCCGGGCACTGGGAGCAGGGCTGGCCGGTTTTGTAGGGGGCTTCTCCAATCCAGTTCCCCCTGTAGATGGAGCAGAAACACCTTCAGGGAGGGGCGGCCACCCCAGCTCCCTCCCTTGGACAATTGGAAATCACTGCCTTCAGGAAGCCCTCTAGTCATCCCCTGGGCACACACAGCTGCCTGTGCACAAGACAAACGGTGAACCCCACACGTCTTCACACAGGGTGTGTGGGCCGGGGTGGGAGAAAGGTGCCTGTTCTGTGTTTCTATCTGCCCACACAGGCATGACGAGGCACCGCACACTGGGCCCATGTCAGTGCCAGAACTCTATGCCTGCCCTAAACTCCAGCCAACATCCCTGGCCTGGTCTGAACTCCCAAACAGGACAGCACCAGGTGGAGAAGGCCACAGTGAGGCCCTGGACTCCCTAGACGCCAAGCCTGCAGCGCTGTGTCCTGGCCCCTCAAACCCCAACCACAGATGCCCACAACGGCACAGTACAGATCCTCCTCCTTGGACCCAGGTGGCAAACGGTGGCCCGCAACCTCTGAACAACCTCCGAGGGGCTGTGGACAGCCCCACCTGCTTCACCCACTCCTTGCAACTGAGCCAGGAGGACTCCCGAGCCCCTCCCCATGCTGCCCTGACCCCTGCCTGGGGCTCGGCCACTCTCCTTAAGAACAATGCTGCCTTGTGTGCTCCACCATGCAGGGGTCAGGAGAAAGTGGCCATCCACATGCAACACCATGGAAGCCACAGGTCTCTGGGCCCATTCATGGATGGGGTCCAGGCAGATCAGAATGCCCACTGGACAGAGAGCTGAGAATGAGGGCTGAAGCAGGCACTGAGATGACACCAGGGCCATCCCTGGTTCACAGTCAGGCTCTGCTCCGCCTGCAGCTCCTTGGGAGAAAGTACATGATGGCTCAGGTTCCTGCCTGGCCGCAGCTAGGTCATGGCTTCAACACAGCCCAGCCTGGCACTTGTAGGAATTTTGGGGACAGACCCAGAAGATGGAGGATCTGTTTGTCTTTGTAATAAATTGATAAAAACTAAAATAAAAGTGATGGAAGGGGGGCTTTAGGGGACACAGGGCACAGGAAGCAGTTCCATGATGGCCTGAGTGGGCAACACTTTGGACGCAACTCCTGCTGTGGTTCCAGTGTAAAATTCCCAACTCCCAGGAGACCCCATCTGGAGATGGGGCCTTCCCAGGAGGAATTCAGCACCTGCCCATTGGACAGAAGCAAAGGGTCAATTGCTGTGTGCAGCCCAAGCCGTGTTCATTTTCCAAGGTGCCACTCACAGCCTGCTTGCCGAAAGTTAAGCAGGGGAGTAACTTCCACGTGGGAGACCCTGCTGGGTGCCTGGCTGACATCTGCTCCCACCCTGACTCTGTCCTGGTGGTCCTGAGTGTCTCCCCAAACCAGTCTGTGAACAGTCCAGCTCTGGCCAACAGCAGAGAGCATGTATGGGGGTAGAAAGGGTCTAGGGAGAGAGCCCCTTTCCTGGTACCCTGCAGCTGCCTTGGCACCAAGAGGTAGATAGGGATGGTAGAGCTGAAAACACGAGCCTCGGTCCTCCCTGACACCACCAGGCCACCCTGAGGTGAGGGACGTGTGGCCGAGAGTGCAGGGCCCTCAAACGCAGGAGACCTCACAGTCAGGCCAGCAAACCCCACTCCCACCGGCACGGCCCCAGCACGGGTCCTCACTTTGGAGCGTAGTTGCACACGAGGTAGACAGCATTTTTCCAGACGTCCCCCCAGACGACCATGCTGTGGCAGGTGGTCACGGCACAGCCGATCCTGTTGGTGGTCGCCCAAACCACCTGCAAGACAGCACCCATGCATCACAGCGGGGCCAGGGCATACAGGTGCAGATGCCAAACACTGCCACTAAAGCACTTTTTACCCACGGAGCAGCCAAACACTTCCTCAGTGGGGAAGATAACGAAACAAATGAACAATAACAGACAGACAGAAGAACCCACGTGCACACACAATGCAAATGTCCCAGCCGTGGGAACCTGCCGCGGAAGCTTCCAGGCCTCGTGCTCGGCATCCAACCTTGCCAGGCGGCACAGGTACTGAATCCCGGCAGTCATGGGCTGAGTCTCCCGAGGTGGGGCACGGCCGGCGCCCAGGGTTACCTGCGTGTAGTGGGAGCACATGGGCCCCGCACACCTCTCGGGACACCAGGGGTCGCACTCATGAGGGTAAGGGTACGTGTAGTCCTTCACCTCGTCGTACCAGGCCTGCACCTGCATCGCGGGAGACCGGTACCTGCGGGGCACAACGGCTCGTGACTCCCCCGCCTGGGTGGGTGCTGAGCTCACAACATTGTTGCCAGGCTGGGGGAGCAGCCCCAACCTCTCCCACTCAGAGTGGGAGGGGACCTCAGGCGACCACATCCCATCCCCATGTGCTCAGGACACTCCCGCTTCCCGCAGAGTCCTTCCTGATGTCAGATATGCATTTATGTCTGTAGTCTTGGGGGACAACTGCATAGCCCCTAACTCCACACTTCACAGACACCGCCAAAACCAGATCTAAGTTACAAGTCCACAGCGCCCAGTGGCAGGCCACGTGCTGCCCAGTGGCCGAGAGAGATTGAGGGGGCTGGGCTGGGCTCAGGGGTGCAGGCTCCCCACTGTGGAAACTCCCTTCACATTCTGGCGAGACTATGTTATAGAAAACAAAATACACCAAAGGAAGACAGCCCCACATGGATCCCCCGACGCCGTCAGCCCTAGGAGTGCCACCGAGCTAATGGCGGGGACAACCTCTCCGGGCTGGGAGGCATCTGGGGTGATGGGCAGGCCAAGCCTGCAATGCACTTTAAAATGACACGTAGAGCCCAGCTCAGTGTCAGGAAGCACTGGGCACATGGAGGCTGCCCAGGACTCATGGCAGGAGACCCTAAGGTTGGTTGGTTAGTTGGTTGGTTTTAAGATTTATTTATTTTTAGTGGAAAAGAAGATCAGATTTTTACACTGGCCCTGTCTTGATGGTCACCAGGCATGGTGCTGGACACTTCCTCAGTGACACCATTCTGTCCCACGGGCAAGGAGATGATGTCCACTGTCCCTGGGTGCAGGCACTATGGCTCAGCCGGGGTGTCACGGGGGTGGGGGTGTGCAGCTGGCTACCTGGCCCAGACACTGCCAGCTCTGTCCCCAGCAGAGGGGACATAGGAGTGATCAGCCCAAAGGCCTCAGAGGGAAAGAGGGGTAAGTGACGCCTTGTCGTCAAGGTTGGGCCTGGCGTGGCCTCCCAGGGTGGGCAGAGGAAGCATCCCCAAAGCTTTAGGAACATCAGATGGCCCCAAGCCCCTGCTCGTCCCACCAGGGCCTCCTGGTCAACAGCAAGGGGGGCTGGAGCACTCTGAAGGAAGTGAGTGGCAACTGGGCACCCCAATACCTCCAGTTGGACCACCATGACCAGGGGTCAGCTACCCAGGCTGCAACCTGCCTCTCTAGGCCCTCAGAGGTGTTCTGTGCTCAGCCTCAGCTTCCCACATGCCTGGGAAATGGGTTCTCTCTCAATTCAGTATCAGGCACAGTGGCCAGGCCAGCATGAGGCACAGGGCGGGCAGCTCATCAGTGGGACCCGTGCAGCCCCCGGAGCTCCAGTGTTCTCACCTGCCCCAGTGCGCGGCCAGGTTCTGTCCGATGGACACCAGCAGGTCGGAGGGCCCATGCTCCCAGAGGCACTGCTCGGCCCAGGCTGCCGCGGACCTCTCCAGCTCTTCGTCCCAGGTCTGCAGGGAGAGGAGACAGTGTGAACAGCAAGGCACAGCCACCCCCCTGTGGGGCTGCCGCGTGGCCAGTGGCCAGTGCTACACCTCGGTGGTCCCTAAGAGACAGAGGACAGGCTCCCACCTCAGCTCTGGCCACTGTCCCCGGCAGGCCCGAGAGCCCTTCCTGATGCTTGTGGCTCCCTGTGGTCACCTGTGCTGGGTGCTTCTGTCCTCAGATGTCGTCGGAATGCTTTGATTACATTCAGACAGACACCTCTGGAGACAGATGCCCCTCACACCCATTTTACAGCTTAGAAAATTAAGGCTCTGGGAAATAACCAGCAGCAGGCACGGATGTCACTGTAGCACCAGCATCCCCCGTGGACACTGGTTCAAGTCCTGGTTGCTCCACTTCCTATCCAGCTCCCTACTAATGTGCCTGGGAAAGCAATGGAAGGTAGCCCAGTGCTCAGGCCATTACACCCACGTGGAAGACCCCAGAGGAAGCTCTTGGCTCCTGCCTTCAGTCTGGCCACTGTGGGCTGCCGAGTGAGCCACTGGATGGAAGCTCTCTGTCTCTCTCTCTGACTTTCCAAGTAAAATTCCTTTTAAAAAAGATAATATTCATCAGTCACCCCCATGGCACAGGTTGTGGTCCAGAGACCAGCCCTGAGACAGCTGTGTGAGCCCACTCTCCGTCCTCAGGCCTGTGTCCACGGGAGCAGGCGAGGGGCCGTGGAGAGGGCGGGCGAGGGGCCGTGGAGAGGGCAGGCGAGGGGCCGTGGAGAGGGCGGGCGAGGGGCCGTGGAGAGGGCAGGTGAGGGGCCGAGGCCGGCTGCAGCCCGCCTGAGCAGAAGCCAGCAGCGACAATCAGTCACCGGACTCACTCAGCGTGGACCCCGACAGCAAAGCACCGCAGATGCCTGGGGCTGAGGTGGCCCACTCCCCTCCAGGCCCTCTGCCCCGGGGGGCCTGGCCGCCCCCCATCTACTCACAAAGCTTAGCTCACCAAGCACCTCAGGTGCGGGACCAAGGTGGGAAGCGCCCGGCAGGCCGGAAGCCAGGTCTCAGCCACGGGGGCTCCCCTCGCGCCCGCTCCTCCCTGAAGCTTGGTGGGGCTAGGCCTGCAGTCCCTGCCTTACCTCCAGGGGCCCCAGGAAGTCCTGGCCATGGACTGCCAGGCCATCTAAGGCAGCTACAGGTGCAGCAAGGCCGCCTCACGCACGACGCCTGCAGCCGCGAAGGCGTGAGCCACCCCTTTCTCGCGCAGCAGCTCTCGCGGGAACTGGCCGGGAAGCGGCGCGCCAGCGCAGCCTGCTCCCACCGCAGGTGCCTAGGGCCCTGGACGGCTAGAGAGGCCACCGCTTCCTGCCCCTCAGGAACTGTGGTCACTGAAGCCCAGCCCTGCTCTGCAATGGCCATTTTCTTTCTGTGCTTCCCAGTAAGCCCCTCTGCTCTCAGCACAGGGAGGCAGGTGTGCAGGCCTTGGGGCATCTGGGCTCTGCATGGGGTTGTGGGATGCCCCAGCTGTGATTGTGGGCGTCAGGCTCCTCGTCTACCAAGTAGTACTGATCCCTGAAGGCCAGGAGAACAAGAAATGACAGTCAGTCCCACGTCAGAGAGGAGCTCACGTCAGGGCTACAGTTTTCTCCGTTCTCTCTGTCCAATACAGCAGCCAGCGTGAGTACGGCTGCTCCCATTCAAGTCGACTAAAATCAAATCAAACTAGGAACCAGCTGTTCTGCTTCCAGCTCCTTGCTGAGACACCTGGGAAAGCAGCAGAAGGTAGCCCAAGTTTTGGGACCCTCTGCCCACGTGGGAGACCCTGGTGGAGGTCCAGGTTTCTGGCTATTACGGTCATGCGAGGAGCAGAGGAGCCAGTAGATCTGTCTGTCTCTTTCAAACAAATTGGGAGGCGGGGGGGAGGACAGGGAAGAGGGCAGCTGCCCTGGTGGTGTGTCAGGCTGATGCTCTGCATGGAACACTGGCATCCCATGTGGGCGTCAACTCCAGTTCTGGCTACTCCACTTCCAACCCAGCTCTCTACTACTGCACTGGGAAAACGGAGGACAGCCCAAGGGCACGGTGCCCTGCTCGCTCAGGGGATACCAAGAAGAAGCCTCTGGCTCCCGCCGACGGCCTGGCTCAGTTCTGGCCATTGAAGCCTTTGGGGACTCTTTCAAGTCAAACAAACAAACGTTTCTAAGAAAAGAAAGAGAAAGGGTGAGAACGAGCTCGGGGGTCATCCCCCACCGAGGTGCATCCTGAGCCTGCTCCCCAGCCCACCAGGGCAGAGCCAGGGAGCCCGTGCTGCCAGCACTCACCATGTACTCCATGTTGGAGGCAGGAGGGTACACTTGGCCACGCAGCTTGTTGTGTAGCCCCAGGATCTCCTCGCGGTCAGCCCAGGGGATGGCCCTGCGCGTGCGTGAGTGGGGCTCGTCCTGCCGGTACTTGCTGAGTAGCTGCTCCCAGTGGGTGGCGTTGGGCAGGACCAAACCTTGGGCCCCACAGAGCAGCAGCACCAATCCCAAGGGGACGAGGCAGGGCAGGATGCGGCTCATGGCTCCCCCGTGGCACTGGCTGGGCTTCTGGAGGCAGAAGTGACTGCTGAGAGTTCTAGAAGGAAGCAGAGGCAGTAGAAGAGGGCGCGTGAGAGTGTAGCCACCATGGTTTCAGCAGGACAGCAAGGGGGCACACATGGTCCTTTCCCACGTGCAGGTGTGGAGACTGGCTCACGGACTTTCAACCAGGCTCCCCAGACAGGAAGTAGAGCTGGGAGTCAAGGCCCCTGAACTTTAACCCCCCCACCCAGGGAACTAACAGGTAGACACCGAATCCGTGCATGCAGAGAGAGGGATGGGGCCATGGGAAGCAATGGCATCAAACGAAGCCATTCAGTGGGGTTCCCATGACTCAGTGACACATGGGGACTCAGCCAGCAGGAAGTCACCTAAGCAGTTAGGCCTTGAGGCCCACCTGCTGCCACACTGAGAATCCCCAGACCTGGGCCAAGGCAACCCTCTTTCCTCTATAAAGTCACACTGGCTCAGGTCTCATTACAGTGTGAAATGTTGGCTCTCACGGTTGCCATCCCATCTCGCAGCTGGGCAAGTTGAGGTGCAGAAGGGTAGCAAGGTGAGACCTGGCAGTAAGTGAGAACCCTGAGGCTCCTGCCGGTGTCTCTGAGGAGCCAGACCTGCCAGCTAGCCCGTGGCCCCCATCTCACCACTGGCTCAGCTCTAGCAACAGGTCATGAAGGACAGGTGTGGCAACTGGTCACCTGGGAGGATGCCACGGGTCCAGGAAGAGGAGAGATGGCCTGGCTGTCCCTTGCGCAGAGAGGACACTATGGCGGCCCCCAGCTGCAGCCTTGGAGGACCAGGAAGAAGCCTGCCGACAGTGACAGCACAGGGGCTCGGGAACAGGAGTCCCCGGAACTCTGGCCTCGAGTGAATGTCCCTGTGTCTGAGCCCATGGGGTGTCACCTGCCAGGCCTGTTAAGACGGCAGCTGAAAGAGTGTCCTCAGGGATGGTGGGTGGATGGGCGCCAAGATGGGTGCTGGGAAGCAGGACCACTGGCACCAGGGGGCAGGCCAGGAAGCCATGGGAACACTACAGTTCCCATCCCCGCTGCTGGAAGGGCTCCAGGGCCCTGACAGGGCCTGTGCCCGGAGAGAAGATAATCCTGCCACACTTGGCCTCCTCCGCGGTGGCCTGCTCAGAAGGCAGCCTCTGGGGCAGAGCCCCGGCACGGCTGGGAGGACCTCGGCGAGCTCTTGGGCAAGAGGGCAGACTTTCCCAGCTCCTGCCTCCCACACAGGCCAGGCTCCTGGCCATATATGCACATGTCCACGGTGGAAGGCTGGCCCCAGGAAGAGGGGCCAGGACACACAACGCAGGGCTGGGAAGTGACGGCAGGATTGACATCCCCAGGGTCCCTCCTGGCGTCACTGGTGAGGCTCCTTGGAACCTCCAGAGGCACAAAGTCGCAAATGCTCCTATAAGGAGCTCCACAAGGACCAGATGGATGTATGCTCCAGCGTGGGTACTGTCTGTTTGCTTGTTTGTTTTTAAGATTACTTATTTTTATTGGAAAGGCAGATATACAAAGAGAGGAGAGACAGAGAGAAAGATCCTCCATCTGCTGGTTCACTCCATAAGCAGCCACAATGGTCTGAGCTGAGTAGATCTGAAGCTAGGAACCTGGAGCTTCTTCCAGGTCTCCCACATGGGTACAGGGTCCCAAGGTTTTGGGCTGTCCTCCACTGCTTTCCCAGGCCACAAGCAGGGAACTGGATGGGAAGCGGGGCTGCCAGGACACAAATGCCAGGATCCTGGTGCATTCAATGCAAGGACTTTAGCCATTAGGCTACTGTGCTAGGCCCAAGTCCCAGTGTGTTTTAAAGCACCCATGGCTGTCAGAGGGAGGTGGACAAACCCACTGCACATGCGGTGGGGGCAGGAGGCACCCCAGGACAGTCAGAAGGAGCCAGTGAGGACTCTGCTGCAGGGTTGACTATGGGGTCAGGGCACGTAAGTGCAGGGGGTCTTCATCTTTAAGATGTACTATTGAAAAGTGTCAAGCAGTTAGGATGAATGTTGATACCTGCTCACACGAGGGGGCCAAGCACGTGTCCTGGTGACCAGGAGGGGAGGGGCGGGGCTGGACACCTGCAGGGGCAGGGCCTGGGTGCTAGCCCACGCTGTCTGCTGCCCTTGTCCGTTACTGGGGTGTTGACTGGCGCCGTGGGGGGAGCCGCAGCCTGTAATGCCAGCATGCCCAGAGGCTTCAGCCCCAGCTGCTCTGCTTGCAACCCACCTCCCTGTCATGCACCTGGGGAAGCAGCACAAGCTGGCTCCAGCGCTGAAGCCCCTGCACCCACAGCGGAGACCAGGAGGAGCTCTGGTTTGGCTCCAGCTGTTGCAGCCGTTTGCGGAGTGACCCAGCGGATGAAAGGCTCCCTCATTCTTCTCTCCCTTTCTCTTTGTCACTCTGCCTTTTCAGTTAGTACAAATAAGGTTTTTTTAAAAGAAAAAAGAAAACACAGTTCCAATGCAGCCTCCTAGCCTGTTCTCCTAGACTTGAGTTGATTCCCACACGCTTGCAGGCCCCGCCTCCCAGATGCCCGCAGCTCCTCCTCCTCAGGCCACCTGCCCTCTGAACTTCAAAGCAGTAAATGGACTGCCATGGCGCAGGATTACAGAGGGAACTGATGAACTTCTGGGTGGGCCATGTGCTGGGCAAGCAGGGAGGGAGCGCCACAGCCGCCAAGACACCAAAGGCAACCAGCGAGGTGTCTCCAAGTGCCTTCCTGCACCTGCCATGGCTGCCTGCCTGGGGTCTCAAGGTGGCTTGGCCTGGCTGGAACCCACAGCACCTAATGGGTGTCAGGTTTGGGGGTGGGGGGCAGGGACCATGCTGCAGAGGACCCAGCTGCACAGCTCTCACCCAGTCCCCCAGGAGGACACTGAGCACTTTGGGCAGTGAAGCAGTGTCCCCCTCAATGCATGGGCAGCAGGTGACAGCCCACAGCCCCAGCATCTCAGTCTGTGACTGGTGACTTTTAAGGGGTGACTAAGTTAAAATGTTCTGGGAGGGCTCTATCCTGACAGGGAGCAGCAGTTAGGACACGGGACCCCATGGGTTTCCAAACCAAGAAGGGGACTTGGGGAAAGCAGCCTGTCATGCCTCAGTAGGGGACCTCGCCGCCAGAACTGAGAGACGGCACTCAGGTGGCCTGCTGGCCTGTGTGACCAGCCCAAGGGACACCTCAGGTGTGGCGCAACGTGAAGGTCCGGGTGCAAGACCCCTACTCCCCAGCACCACACTCTCCCTGCCAAACTCATTCAGGGCTTGCCAACTGTTACTGCTCCTCCAAGAAGCCTCTCCTCACTCTCCTGCCCTCTCATGCGGGCATCCATCGTGGACTGGGGGGCAGCAGGACAGACACCATGCTGGGGGGTAAGGAGGGCTTCTGGAAGCTTCTCTTCTGCCAGAGTTGCAAAACTGAGCCATAAGCCCACATGTAAGATAAGCGCTTCGGGACCTTTTCTGCAAACACCAGAACACCCACACCAGACATGAGGCGTGACGCAAGCTGGGAGGGGACCAGAAGAGCTTTTGAGTCCAGCATCTACGGCCAGACCCAGGCCTGGCAAATCCCAGACACAGCGCTCGCGCTTCTGTGGTATCATCCAGGGCTCAGACATCACCCAGGCCCTGCCAGCTGGAGGCATGCTGTCTGCAGGGCCACTCGCCAGCCCACGGAGCTGAGCTACCACCAGGCATCAGGTAGCACAGCCCACAGGAAAAGGAACCCACACTGCAACTCAACCTTGCCCAAGCCTAGGGAACTCTCAGGACAGTCCCTTTACCCCACTCCTAGCCATGGGCACCCGGGGGGCCAGCAAGCCCAGGCTGCCAGGCCAGCAGTGGTCTCCTCCACCACCATCCCCAGGGCTGCCCCGGCCGCTCCGTCCGGGTTAGCAGTCGGCCAGGATGAAGCTGAGGCACGGCCTGACAGGCATCAGCCCTGTGTCGGGGCTGCTGCACATGCCGTTCCCGCAGCCCACGCCGTCACCCCAGCCTCCCCACCCCAGACCCACGCCGGGCACGTTCACCCCACACTCATCTCCAAGATGCAGGTCAGAGGTCGGTGATTCCTGGAAGCCTCCTCCAGCTGAATCACGCCCCAGACCTGCCGGGCTCACTCTGGGCAGCAGGCCAGGCCGGCGAGTATCCCTGGAATGACAGGACGCCCTCGCTTTCCTCCCGTCTGGCCCCAACAGCCTTGGAAGGATGAGGCCGCTTTTGCTGCGTGGGGCAGGTGACAGGCCCCAGGAACAGAGACAGGTTCCTCCAGCTGCCCCTCGCCTGCCGTATGGCTCGATGGGGCAGACGGCAGCCCAGGCCCCGGGGACGGGTTCCTGCCCCCTCGCCCTCAGCGTGGCCTTGGTGCCTGTGTCTACAAGGTCAAAGGGGGCACTAGGCCAGACCACGAACACAGAGCCCTGGTTGTCTCGGTAACGAAGCAGATGCTAATTGCTGCCAGCAGCAGTGGTACACATAAAGGAGGAGGCAGCTTTCTCCTCACATCCTCTGACAGCCCCACTTGTCCTCAAAGTCTAATTCTAAAAAAAACACAAAACAACCCAGGCTGCAGTTTGGCACAGCAGTTAGGGACGCCCCTGGGGACACCTGCAGCATATGTTGCAGTCCACCAGTTCAGGTCTTGGCACTACCCCTGCCCAGCTCCCTGTCACTGTGTCCGCTGGGTGGCTGCAGCTGGGGGCCCAGGGAAGACCCAAATGCGGTTCCTGGCTCCTGCTTCAGCTTCCGGCTCATGCACGCCCCCAGAGGCAGTAGCTGACAGCACAACACGTGGGTCCCCGCCACCCACGGGAGACCTGATCAGCTCCAGGCTTCAGCCTGGCCCGGCCCTGGCTGCTGCAGCGTCTGGGGAGCGAGCCAACGGATGAAACAATTCTTGCTCCCTCCGATTCTGTCACTCTGGCCTTTCAAATAAATGAGTCAACCTGCGCACAGAAAGCAGGTGGCCACAGCGGTGAGACTTCCACGTCTCCATAAACCCGCGAGACCCCTGTAATTAGCCTGACTTTTATAGATGAAGAAACATGGGTACCTGGCTCACAACCACCCCACGCATGAGGCATGGCCACAGCCTCCTGGGCCTGACTCAAGGAAACCCAGTTCCTTTCGTCCCTCTCCAGACGGAATAGACAGATGACCCAGCTGGCCACGGCATGCACACAGCGCTCAAGGCCCACCTGCTTTAGCAGGTGCTCGGCAGACACTGCCTGTACCCACCGTATGCAGGGGGGAAGACCCTGAAAGTGGCACTGACAGCCTGCACCTGTCTTCCTGCTCCCTGTGCACGACGGCCTGAGACCAGGTG